CTCTCTCTCTCTCTCTCTCTCTCTTTGTCCTTCCAGTGAAGAAAGATTTCCCTCCTTATTCACTCGGCACCGTTACATGTGTACGCCTATCCTCACTCCGTTGAACACAATACAAACCCTGAACTAGAGCGTGGCATTTCGCTCAGATTCTTTTCAACCATAAAATCATCAATCCATTAAATCGAGATATCCATTAACATCTATATGTCTTAATAAATCTGTATGAAAATTAATTTCGTAGACTTATAAAATAAAGACACATATTTACTATGAAAATTTTAGAATCCTTTAATACGTCAAAATTATGTCATTCGATAAATATTCTCTTAAATAGAAGATAACACTTTTGAAAACAATAAATGAAACCTTTTATTCTTAATCTTTCTAAATAATGTAAAGACAGAATTTAAATTCAATCATTGAGCAATGTACCTACCTAATTTCACTGAACAGAATGATTCTAACCATTTAATAGATAGTGTATAAAGAACAACGGTTTATATAATAAAATCAAAATTGCTTGTTTATACGATTACTATGAAAATCGATTTTATTAGTTAGAATGATCTTTGATTGACGAAAGAACCGTAACGATTTCCAGAAATCTCGCGTGTCACGAAATGATACGACCTGTCGAATCATTTTATCGACATCGTTAATTCGGGTAGTCTCTATTAATAGGCGCGCACCTGCGTCGCTATGCTTCACGTTGTAGCGTGATCGAGCGGCGAGAAACGAACTTATTTTTTCGATAGAACGCCGGAACGCCTGCACCCTCGAGAAGCGAGTTGCTCACGAACTCGTTTAACCTTTAATTAGCGAACCCCTTAAACGGCCTGTTAACGCCGCTTATAAGTGAAAGCAATGTACACATTAGGAATCAGCTTTAATATCATAATCATATAAACAATATATTGAATCGTTATTTTACGAAAATAATGCCTTATATGTATTCCTTCCACATTGTATTAGACAATTACATTTAACGAGTATAGAATAAAAACGAGTAAAATTTATGAATTTTTTATAAATTAATATTATTCAGTTTTTATTAATTCTCTGTATTATAGAGAGAATTTCATGTTGCGTTTGATGAAGAATGTTGAATCCCTTTTCTACAACCTCGTTCATTTCGTTTTGGTTTCAGTGTTCAAGTAAATCATTGCGTTCTGACAGTATATTTTCTAAACATTTCCCGGGCAATTCCACTTTGCAAATTCTTTGGTAGGATTCAGAACACATTCCTAACTCTTCTGGTATATGAATAACACAGTTTTAATAAATTTGAAATTACTATTTGTTTGAGTGCAGAGTGAAATATTCAAATTGTAACAGAAATATATCATAATTTCTTGTTCTAATTCTTACATGGAAATCTTAAGAATTTTTATTAAACAGTATTTAAAACTCGAGCAGAAAGTTATTCTAAAAATATTGCCAAGGTTGAATTTAATAAAAATTAGCAGTCTATTAAATATTAAACTGATTATAATTTTAAATTAGTACATGACAGTATGTACGATCTTTCGTAATATATCTTAATAAAACAGAAAAATGAAAAATTACAACAGAAAGAAACTTAATACTTGTAACCACTGCTGATGATACGAGCTGAACTCTGATCATCTATAATCCAGTTAGAAGTTTTACAGTGAAAAGCAGTGGTTGTTTGACATGTTATGTGTATATGTATACTAACCACAACAGTTGTTCCTTGTCAAGGAACCACGACATATCTCATAGCGGTTAACGAGGCTCTGGATACCAGAGTTGCTTACATTGAAAGGATATGCATCGACTAGGTGCAACATCCTTACACGTATACATACAACGAAATCGTAGATTCCGCTTTTGCATACTAATTATTTATTAATATTCAACTATCTGTTTCGCAAATCGTAATTTTACGTATGAAATTATGTAGAAACTTTCAAGTGTATTAATCAATACTGCTGCAACTCCTACTTCGTTCATTAAATTGTTATTGCGATGCTTCTAAGCTTCTGGGAATCAGTTAATTATTCATTGTAATCCAAATATCGCACCATGAAAAATATTACCTTACAAAAATGTTTATAATTTTAAATTACCTTTATTCTGTTTTTTTTATGCACATATTCTTTATTAAGTTAACAAGCTAACATTGTTTTAATATTAGTTTCTTTTTAAATTATAGTTCAATATTTAATTTCCTTTCGGATTTCAATAAATAAACATAAATATTATATATTTCTCTATTATCCTAAGAAATTACATTATATCTTATCCACGAAATCACCGTAAGAACAGTTAATGCGAAATGAAATCCAAGAACAATACTCTCAAAGCATAGTCCTTCATTGAAAATGGTCTTATTATTCGAGTACAATTCACACGCTCAAGTCAATACACCGTTCAACTAACCTTCTTCTCAATGTACTCAGAAATTAACCTACGCACACCGACACATTGCTAATTTCCAACATTACCGCAAAAATCACAATCCAACAAGCATATATCAACGACATTAAAAAAACATAATACTCTAAAAACACAAAACCCCATCGAAAATAATCACGATTCAAGAAGAAAACGAAAATCGCGCGAACTCGGAGTGATCAACAACGGTTAAAAAAGAAATGGGTCAACAATAGAAAGTCCGTATGTACTTTACAAATATCCTCAAAATCCTAACAAACGGTTCCTCGCTCGCAGATGAGCACGCGACGAAAGTCGAGGAATAATTTATTTAATTACAATCTGCCCGGAAAGTGACGTTCCGACTGCAGTTCATTAAGACCGGGTGAAAAGGGAAAAAATCACCCATTCTGTCAAGTGCGATGTAGACGCGCCGAGAAGCGAACAGAGAGAGGAACTAACGAACCGCGAAACGTCAACATTCTCGCTTTAGCGTCGCTGATAGGTGAGCCGCTGAAATTCACACGTGCCTGCCGCGCGCCGCGGGACAAAAGATCTTTCTTTCGCGTTCTTCGGGTTTCGCCCGCGTGTCCCATTTTTAATTTAGTCTACCGCGGATTGCTGACCACTGCTGACTACGCCGTCTACCAATAGACCGGCGTCATATCCAGTATTATCCAACGAAGCTCCCGGCAGAGAGCTGGCTCAGTCGTGTGATAAACGTGGAGCACCTAGGTAGGTGGGTAGAGGTGCGTCTGCACATCCATCGTCGGCAGTGAATCGTACCGGCGAACAATGCGCTCGTGGACCCCGTGAAACGGAACACGACCTGTTCAATAGTCGTGCTAGGAAGTGTTGCGAAACCCAGCGTGTCGTTCGGTTGCCGTATTTTTGTCGGGATCGCGCTCGCCGTGACAATGTCACTCTGAAAAGCGTCTCCGAACCTCGACGAGAACTTGCTACCGAATCGTTCCGCGGTGAACCACGCTTCAACGAATTTGTATTTGCTTTGTGTTCAGTGAGTGTCATTGGATCATCGAGAACTGTCCGTTTCCTACGCGAAGTCTTTAACCCTGCTACGTTCTTCGGGTCTTTCTGAGTCAACCACATTTTCATTTTTTTTTATATTGTTTCATTTCTTTAACAGGTTAAATTCCATGGGGATCACCGGTGATCCACAGTCAAATCGAATTACTATAGATCACTCAATTAAACGGTGACTATTTGAAGACATTCCTATATTATAAATAATATTACCTAGTGAAGTGATATTGAACAAGATAAACGTGCAATAACAATAACGCAAGCCGATATTCAATAATTCAATATTATATCTTCTTCCATTTCGTGAATTTTATATCGTAGAGCATTCAACGTATTAACTAGTTAACTGCGTTCGACGAGTATACACGCCATTTTAATATTCATAGTAATACAAATTCTTTCAATGGTGAATTATTTATTTTTCCACATAAACACGTAATTCTTATTCGTTTCGCTTTAGTGTTTTATTAAAATATATTATAGACACATTTTTCCGTTTGATTAGTGTACAATTCATCAGTTCAATTTTATTATGAGCACAGTGAGAGTTTTTAAATTAAATTCCACAGATGGGTTAATGGTTTTTGATTTTGTTGAGGATACTTTACATTTGGAAATGGTGCATATCGTTACTGGATTATGCGTTTCTATTTTTTTAGTAATATTTCAAATGCGTTGATAAATTGAGGATCATAACGGGATGATATACTTTTCTTCTAAGAAAATGTTAGATTTGTCGCAATCTTTTAGAAATGTTTTATGTACGTTTTTTACGAAAAGTTGGATGTCTGTTTTTTTCAATGTTTTCGGCAAATAAAACTGAAAGAATGTGTGAAGTGTACACTGATTTGATATGAAAATTTTGTTGTAGAAAAGCACATTCTAAGTACGAAAAGCGTGGAAGATGATCTTGCTATACGAAGATTTCACGCAAGGATATATCAATGTATTTTTTAAGTATAGCTATAGAAATGAATTTTTAAGTTTTCAATTGTGACATCCATATATGACTGATAATACAATTAAAATGTCAAGATACACTCTCAATGACGTTAAATGTTACTTCTTATGTGTTTTTTATTTAGAATATTGAGGTAAAACAAGTTTTGCAATCAAATGTTTGAGAACATTCAATTGAGCATGGTCTGATGTTTTAATCAATGCTGAAGTAAATACGCAAAGTCCATGGAAAACTACTCTCTTGAGGAGGTGTGGTGTTAATTAATTCCTTGACAACGTGTTCTGATAATTTTTCTTTGAGATAAGCAACCCATTTGTACATTTTTTATTAAAAAATAATTACAGAAATTAAATGATGAACTTTGAAGTACTTGCATTTAATTAAACAATAGCAAAAGCAGACTTTCTACCGTAAAATGGAAAGTAAATTGAAAATCTAATTAAAGAATTTGTAAATGACATTTAAGTGGATTCAGATATATTTACCATTCGAATTACGAAATGTTCTAATTGTCAAATTGTTAAATTTCAATCAAAAGAAATACTCGTAAATATCGTTATTTATTTGTACGACCGACAGCGAATAAGACTGGCGCCTGGATATCCTAAAAATAAATTCAGAACTTCTAATATAATCTTCCTTTGATGTATATAAATAACGCATAGTGCATGTAAATAGCATCTGTATTTTTTATAAGACATTAATCGATAATTAAATTCCAAACCAACGTATTAATACTGTACATTGATACTTGTGGTTGTGTCATTGTTTTCTCGATCATATAATTGAAAATTAACAGACCGAAACCACCGTTAGTCCCTTGTGCTTCTCCTGTTTATAACCCGACAAAAGGAAACACTTTTACGACACTCTGACGAGAAAAAGTTTAATGTGAATTTAAAAGTTTAATGTCCTTTAATACCTATTTCTATTCAGTATTGAAAAAGCTATATTAAACAATTATAATAGAAATAAAATATAGTCGTAATAAATTAATATATTAAAATATACGTTTTTACTTAATAATTTAATTGAATGCATGTAATTATATAATTATATGTCATCTGCAATAATATTATAAAATAGATTCAATTTTATTTAATGATTTGAATTAAATAAATTGTAAACAGCATTTTATACTAATAACGTGCTAACAATTATTGTAACTAATATAATCCAGACTACTTTGTAACATGAAAATTACCGGTTAAATTCACTTTTTAAAATTCCTTTATAGAAACTCCAAGAATGCATCTATTGAGACTTTAATTGATTTACAATTCAGTTTTCGTATTACTAAATCACTTTAATAATTTCTCAAAGAAACATCTGTTACCTTTTTAATAATTACAAAAAGAAAACATCACAAATGCGTCATTTTGACTCGCCCGGTAGTTTTAGTGTTGAAATAGAATAACACATTTCGTATTCAATATCGTTATAGCTCAGAAAGATTGTGTAAACTCGTATCTTTTACACAACCCCTGCTTTAACAGAGCGAAACTATCTTAAATTTTTAGCAACACCATTTTCTGTTGTTTTGTTCGCCTATTCTCCGATTTCTACTTGCGTTCATAAACTTTTAGTTTCACAGAAATATATTATGATAGAATTAAACTGAAAACATTGATTTTATTCTATTTGAAGAAAAGGAGACGTGGTATTTAATATAAACGTTTGGACTAACATTTTGAAATTCTTCAACTGTAGGTGTCAGAATAAAGAAACTATTAGAAGAGAATGAGTCTTCGCTGGATCCACGAGAACTTAGAAGCTCCAACATGCGACGAAGAATGCAGCGACATTGATGACAGTTGTAGTGATGATAGCTACGATTCTGATCTATCGATCGGCGAGGAGAAAGGGACGAGAAACGAAAAAGAGATCAATGGAGATCGCAAAGGGAAAAGAGAAACGAGGCGGCATCCGACTACCACAGTGAAGTTCGATGAGAATGGGTATTTGCCTGTAATTAGAAACTATCGACAAGATGCAATCTTTGTAATCCTGTTTAAGCATTGATTAAGTTTAGAATCCGGATCGAGAACTTCCAACTAGTAGTTTAACCGATCCGTCGCAGATTTTCCAATTAAAATTCTATCAGTAATTAAAGCGAGTTTGACCTTATTCGTCAAAATCCCTATGGAACGAAACAGTTTGTCCCCGCATAAATCAAATGAATAGTTAAAATGATTCAAGTGTAGAAGTTCAATTAATTCAGAGTTTATATAAATCAGATTTGATTACTAATTCAAAATCAAATATTCTTCTTGTAATAAATGTCGCTTGAAAAATAGGCTAAGAACATACAATATGACACTTAGCTTCTTTTAACGTTTTAACAGACAATAATGCACATAAATACGGAAAAATAATTAAAAAATGAATGATTTAAAAAATTATTTAAACAGTATATTATTCTCTAAATATATCTAGTAATTATAGGTGTCTGAATTAAGTATTCTATGAAATCTTCCGTTTAAACTTACCATGATTATTGTGTGTGAAAAGAGAAATAACATTCAGACGATTTTGCAAAAGAATAACCACTCTGTATAATGTAAAATTTGAATGATTACAGCTACAGGAAATTCATTTCATTATCTATATTAACAATCTCAGTGATATATGAATTACGGACGTTGATGAAAAGGTAATGCATATTTTACAGTAAGTTTCCCGCGAGCGTATTGTGCTGATAAATCCGCGGACGTAATTTCCCTGTAACGCGTACTACTACGAGCGTTCATTAATCACATGAATCGATTAACTCTTCATCCCGTACTCTACAAACTTAATAGTTTTAAATTTGCCGTCACTTCCGCAATTCTTTAGAACTGAAATGTTTACAACATGTCTTAAGATAAAATTAATTAATTTTTCTAACAGTAAAGGAAAAAACATTCGTGAAACATCTAGAATGAATAAATATAAACTGACGTTATTTATTTCTAATCATTTTATTTATTCGAAGAGGAGTGTTACAAAAGCCGTACTATAAATGAATTTAATTCCGTACTCAGATTTAATAGGAAATTTAAAAACATCATGAATATTAAAAGTATCATACAATAATTTTGACTTTAAGTAAACATTAAATGAATTATTAAATATAGCCAATAATAACAGTATTATAGAATATTCTCAGTGTATCTAATAGTCATGTTTATAATATATAAAACATTTAAAATCATTTAATTCTATCTTTTCGGTAAGTTTCGAGAATAGAAATCACAACTGAACTCTAGATCATCTTTTCAATAACATACTTTCTAACGTTTCTACTCTCGAGATTAAAATTCACGAAAGTCTCCTATCAAGTAAATAGGTACACACGTGAATAATATTCCCGAGAGTTACTCACTTGTGAATAATACTATTATATACTTTGTCCAACGAGACGAGGCAGTAGACATAAACAAAACAGTCAGGAGCTAAGCACAACAATTTGCTGGCATATATAGTTGTCTCGGTTGCATCTAACAAGAGAACCTTTTCAACCAGCACACGCTACTTTTGATGGAACTTATGTGGGACATAGTTCTTAAGAAAATATTTGACACGTACTTTTTCTTATCGGCCAACATCCACTTTGAAGGGGTGAAATACTTATTACAATATCTCTGAAACTGCCGAATGTATAAAAAAAACTAAATTATTTATTTTGAGACGAAGAATTAACAAACTAATTTTTTTCTACCATCCTCTAATTTTAGAGATATTGCAAAAATATACTTTCAAGCCTAAATTTTTTAGGAGTGTTTTCACCCCTTCAAAGCAGATGTTGGCTGATAAGAAAAAATACGTGTCAAATATTTTCTTAAGAACTATATTTCACATAATTTCATCAAAATCGGCGAGTGCTGGTAGAAAAGGTTCCATTGTAAATTACTTATAAAGAGTTTTTCCACATAAATCCAATTTTCACATTTTTCTTTGCGATTGGTGCCTCGTCTCATTGGACAGACTACGGATAAAATGGTAAAGAATCAGCGCAATAGTCTGCCCCTCGGTCACGACATTGATGACGAACGCGTAGTTACCCTTCGATACTTGGTACGATTTGCACAGATTGGTCACTTGACTCGATTAACTTTCAACTCTATATTGTTGCAGGGTCACTAGGTGTAGTAGGTACCGTTCGCGTTATCTCATTACCGACATTCGAGAACCGTGGTAACCGACAGAACTGCAATTCCGCGGGAATTGCATTAAAGCGCACACGCACGCCACGCCACGCAAAATTAGGATCGACGTTTATGACCGTGCTCGAGTTATAACAAATAGATCGTGCCACGTGTAATTGACGGAGGCGTCTTTACGCAATGAGAAGACCTAATTCTACAAACGTTGCATTTTAAACAACTGTTGAACTGTTTTTTAGATTGACCTTCTAATCATTCCTTAGGATTTGAATTGCATTGACATAAAAATATTAGTTGATTAATAATGGAACGTAATTAGTTTATACACGAAAAAGTATATAGTAATTATTAGAATACTTTGAATTAAACATATTTAATTATGTCGCTTGAAAATGTTAATATTTTTATAATATATATGTTATCGAAATAATGCAAAAGGAATTTTTCTTTTATCATTTGTAATTCCATTGATTTATAACAAATTTATATTTACTTATATAAATAACAATAGTAAAATACACATAAATTTATTTATTAAATATATGTTTCCATTAAAGGGATTATTAATTTTTTGAATTGGATTACACTGATTAATGTCAATATATTACTCATTTTTATTAGAGATGAACAGGTTCTCGCACACGATTGCGTAGGCACTCGAGAAATATTAATATATACGTGCCTTGTTATCGGTATCATTAGCTTGATTATTATCAGTTGACGTTCCGCTTCTTGGCTGAATTCTATCGACATTACCTTTCTTCCCCTCGAGCGTCTGTTTAAAATTAACGGGGTTGGAAAACGTCTACGGTGCAACGAGCTACGCTTCATTCACGAAGCTTGCTGACCTGAAAAGCCGATCGGCCCATTTTTCCAAACGCAATGAAATGTTATAAATAGCACACCATCTCCAATGTGTCTCTTCACATTAAGTTTACCCATTATACTGTACCTACCGCATTTGTTTCATTGGTCGTGAACAATGCATCAACATTTAGAATAAAAAGAAAAATACGAAACTCTATATCTAAAAATGTCAATTAAAAAATTTGAAAACTTCCATTAAAATTCAGTTGTTGAAGATAAAAATCACGTAAAAACAAAAATGCTGTTTTAAATAACGAGGATGTACAGTTAAAATAATCACACGTTAATCCGTTAATAAATAGAATAGATTAATGTTATTACTGGGTATAATTGATGTATTATCATTATTATCATAAACAGATAATTTGTTAACAGAATGTATTCGTTCTCAATGGTACAGTTGGAAGTTATATATATTTATTGAAAAATATTTATATTTATTGGATGTGAATTGAAATCTTCAAAATCTCTAATTTCATTCGATACTATAAAGAAAAAGTTTAAATTTTACATTGATTGCCATTGGAGCAGCGAAGTTATACGGAAAGAGTTAACACTCTAAGAGCTGACCTCTTATGAGAACAAACAAATTCGATTCGGCAAATGGTTATTTGTGGCACACTGTATTCGATTTCAAAACTTGTAAATCTCGTTCTTTCAGAACTCCGCATTTCGTCACGTCTGGATCGGTTAAAGCCGCGCCTTGCATCATATGGGACCCGAGAAAACCAGCGGAAAATCCAGTCTACAATTGCCTGGTAATCAAATTATTCTGCCGGACTGGTTATCATCTTTCTATTTCAAATTCAGGACGCGTCCGAGGTTTGAGTGGTACTAATGAACCACATGGTAATTATAAAGTTGTTATAAAGAATTTACTATAACATAAAATGCTGTGCTATGCTTCAATTAACAATCAACTTTTAGCCTTGTTTCACATTATACCGGTATCGTTTGGTATAATTCGAATGCAAAGCATCGAGACTGGTCTCTACTTAGCTTTCAACAAGAAGGGTCGTCTGTATGGAGAGGTAATAACATAAACTTTAATTAGAAAAAACACTTCTTTGATGTGAAACAAAAATATTCGACAAATCTGAAGCGAAAAAAAATTAAAAACATAGATCAATTTTTGTGTCAAAATAATTTAAAATACTTAAATATAAAAAATTGGTAGATTCTGTGACGAAGAAAATTTTATTCACTACCTACTTTGTTTATGAAACATTAAAATGTAGATATTATATAACTATATTTATAAAGAAATAGGTAAAATTGAATATGAATGAAACTAATCTTAATGGTGTTAAATATTTAGTTAAATATTTATTCGTCGATATGTTTTCACAGCCAGACGTAAACAAGGACAACACAGAGTGGGAACAATGGAATGTCGGTTCATATGACGCATTTCGTTCACGAAAATATGCGAATTACGGATGGTGGATAGGAATAAAGAAAAATGGAAGAGCAAAACCGGGACCAAAAACACGTTGGGGCCAAAAGGCGATACAATTTCTAGCTATACGTCAAGATTAAATTCCACTGATCATATCTTATACCTCATACTGTAAATCGATCATTTCATTAAGTAACAAAAATATTGCAGATTAATGGAAAATTAAATCTTTACCGTTGAGCAGCTAGTTCTGTTGTGGACCATTTTGTATACAATACTTGGGAGAGAATTTTGTAAGCGAAATCATATATGTCCTCTGTTAGTAACAACACAATTAAAATTCGCATTTGGAGATTAGTAATTTAAATACGAGTTTTTATGGTACCTGTGAGATAAATAAACAACTTCGTTACCTTCCAATAGAATATAATGTTTATTATAACACTGTTACTCAACAACGGAATAGTTTGGGATTGTGCATTCTGCTTGTGCCCTTCAACTGAACCTTCATCGCAATTTGCAGTTTCAAATTGCAGTACATCCTTCTTTTTCTTTCTTTTTTTAATAATATCAGTCGTCGATCGATTATGCTACAAGCAAAGTGTGTCGATCTAATCTGATCACAATCTGAATTTTTCACTTCGCTTGCAGCATTCGTACGAACACTAATCTGTATTTTATTACATTATAATTATATGTAATATAATATATTTATATGCAATTGTATATATATATATTTATATTTATATATAACTATTTCTTATCTCTTTTGTACACCTACATACATTGCATACAGGTATATCGAAACTCTTAAGCGAAAGCTTCAATTAAAAAACGCCGGTGTTCGATTAAATACAGTAAATCTACAAACATTTATTACTCTCGCATTTTAATTTGTAAATATCAAATATGTTGCCAGCAATCAATTTCAACAACCGCAAATTAAAATATTGTAAATAAAATTTATTTCTAAAAAAAATAATAAAATAAAATTCGTTTGTAAGTTTTATTGTTAATTTTTGAGATTAATAATTTCGTTGCTAAAATTAAATCATTTTCCTGGAAATAATGCCATAATGAAGTAGAAAACTTAGAAAGTCCATAAAAAGAGGATGTAAATTCAGTAATCACCAAAGTATATCAGTAATCATTAATTGCTATGCAAAACAGTCATCTTTCCAATAAATTTCTCTTCCAGACTAACTGTAGTAATTTCTAAATTGTTTGAAATTATCTTAGATCCAAGAATTCAAGAATATAAAAAGCATCAGTTTATGATTCAAATAAGCTTACTACCTCAGTACAACCTTACTTTAAAAAATTGGGGAAGAAATATAGTGACTTTCTGTAAGGTGTCTCAAATAAGGTGATTGAAATTAATTCAAAATACAAATAACAAAGTCCACAACCTACAATTTCACAAAGAATGGACTATTCATAGACCATGAAAAATAATTTGAAGTGTAAATTGGGTCTACAGGACTCTAACCTTCATACCTTGTTCATAAAATAGTAATGTTTGTGATAATGCGTAAGTACGTGAAAAAACATAAACAGTGATCATATAAAAGTAGAACAAAGAAGTCACTGTATTTATTCCATCGGGAGTGTATCTTCTGCGCGGAAAACTGTTAACCCTTGGAAAGAGGATATTATTGGCGTCACATAGACCAATTTTTCCTTAAAGACATATGCGACTTTCTTTTTAAACCTATTTCTTATTTAACATGCTACACAAATAGACTAATTAATTAAACAAAACTTTTAAGACATAGTCCAAGGATTAAAATTAAACACTCAAAACAAATAATCTAAATACACAACTCAATTAATCGAGCATTTATAAACTTTGTTTTGAAAATATCAATTCTTTTTCTTCCTTTTATAGATCCTCATGAACTTTGTCCATAATAAACGAGATTCTTACCCTTCCACTATGAGTGAATAAATAAAACTGTAATATATAAATGGAAATTGGAATTCTTTGGCAATATAGTAATTACAAGTGCATTGCTTCTCAAGCAAAAAGCATATAAAGCGACAGAAGGAGAAAGTAAATATACAGTTTAACCCACAAATTTTTAAGTGAATATGATTCAAATAGGAATCATGAGAAGAAACAAGGAAATTTTCATTTATATATGTCATCTTCATAAAAAGTATGTACACACTAACAAGAAATAAATTGCCAGAATAAGCACAATTCATTAAATAATATATTGGATACTCTTATATCTACATTAAATTTCTTTTCTATACTTTTCCTTTTAAATTAGGGTGTTATAAAGGGAAAACATATACATACTTTTTATGAAGAGCTAAAGATCACATTATTTTAAAATCCCTGTTTTTCAGAATTTTTCTCTAATTTAAGACATAGATTCACTTTTTTTTGGTGTTAGGGCTGGTGGATTGAAAAACACTGGATGCAGACATTAAGTTTTCGATATATTGATTGAGTACTTGATTCTCACTTCTCAATTTTAGATTCTCTTCCTTTACACTGTCCACTCTCTGTGACAAGTCTAAACAGAGGGAGAAACAAGAAAAATTTATTTGTTTCTAAGAGATTACTTTTGTAAATTATGTTTAAATGTCCTGTTATATTTTATTACTTTAACATATTAGAAAGTTATAAAAAAAATTAAAACTTCATTACTAATAATCATGATTTTTAAGATAAAATCAATAAGAAGTTTCATATTATCAAATAATAAGTTACATGTGACTGTTGGTTTGAAATTATAGGAATTACATCAACTTTTTGAAACTCTTATTGTATTAAAATATTAATTTCTTACCGTCTAAAGTATTCTGAAGTTCAAGTACTTGGGCAATCAGTCTAGCTTTCTCTTCTTGTTCATCGGGACTGATATCAGGATCTAAGCCTAAAATAAAAATTTTAGTAGATATTAAACTAACAGATAGTTATAAAACTAAAACTAAATTTTTGCAACATACTATTGGGACTACAGCTGCCATTTGTGAATGTTGAGGGAATAGAATCCATGCTGCGTCCCCTGCCCAATGCATCAGATAAATGGCAGCTGTTATCCAGAATTTCTTCCTCAGGAATAATTACTATACATAAAGATATTTTCATAAATATTATAACTTTTCGATACATGCAATGTTAAAGAATGTATAAGGATAATTAATTATTACACTTAAACAACTATTCCTTTAATATAAAGAAAAATATTTACAAACACTGTTTTCCAACAAAAAAGCCGCATGTAATTATTTCAATAAATAATTTTAATCTGATTAAATTTAAATTAACATATATGGATTATGAGTAGTATATTGGTTTATGTAAGGTTTAAAAATTGTTTCATATACTTGATAAATATTTAAGTATCTTATTAGAGTTAAAACAAAAGAAAACAGGTTATAATTGAGTAAGAGGCAATAATGAAATTAGGAAATTGCATTAAAACGTAAATGCAAAGTCCTTTACCTTGAGGATCGTCGTCTGCCAACGGTATACTGTTCATGTCATCTTGAAGTTTGGCTGTGACGGATGTAGACATCTTGACGCCGAAGATATTCGGTGAAAGAAATAACACACGACAGGCAAACCTGCGCGTAAGGTTCGACGTTCAACCCGAACTTATCGATTTCTACGCGAAACTAATACACAATTACTAGCACATTTACTCAACGAACATTAAATATGTAGTATTTTATTAATTTCTAATTGATGTGGGTTATTCCGATTATAAATTAATACAAACAAAGTCGTTAAATCGACGATAATTACTGAACTACTTCAACTTCATTTGACACCATTCGCCATTTGCTTTCCAGCTGACACCTGCAGGTGTTTTGACTTACTATTTCTTCAGCATTATCAAATATAAGATATTTGTATTTTAGGGACAAGAATAAACGACAAATGTATTTAAATGAAAATATTATAACTAATAATTACGGTGTGGTCGGCACCATTATTACAAGTGGAGATTTGATTGAGATATTTCAAATATTAACTTCATAAGACAATGATGAAGGCAAAATGTATCAGCATAAAAATTGTAGAAGTTTTATTGATCTATAAATATGTAAAATAAAATGAACATTTTGCCTCTATCATTTTTTTCAAAATGTCAATATCGCTTGTTCATATTTTAAAACCATGCGCAAGCACCGGCATACTAATCAAGTGATACCTTTCTCAATTACACTGTTAATTACATTGCACTAGAGACACACCTCGTCTATGCTACAGGTTGTGAAGCTAAAGGTGACTACAGCGCTATGATTTTAACCTTATATTTTATTCTAACTACACGTGATTTCGCAAACGATTGTCGGTAATATAGATCAACTATTAAATATATTACATAACTTCAATCAGATAATAATAAACATATTTATATAAATTTATATAAATATATTAAGAAAATGAATTATTTATTTAACAAGACAAATACAAGTTCTACAGTAAAGTAATTGACAAAAGTAATTAAACGCACACATATTATTTACTGTAACTCCTATACCTCGTTTGTGCTGGTATTTAAATTCAAAAATTTATTATTATAAAATTTATGTATTTATAAAAATACAAAATATGAAAACAATAGAGTTGATCATTTACAAATCTTTCATTGGTTTATTTTGTACTTAGCAGAACGGTATTTTTTGCAATAAATTTAAACAAAAATCTTGACTTTCAATTTTATAAACCAAATAGTTTATTAAATATCACATTACCAAATAATATGACTAAAATATACAAATTCTGGCCCTTACATGCAGAAGTGTATTTTTGGAATATGTACTTAAGGGATAAGTACATATTGTTATTTGTTTTAAAAAAACTCCATTTTTATATTGAACCACGTTGAACCGAATATCCATTTTAAAAAAACACATAATCACTATTGTTATTTATTTGCATTTTATGAATATTTTTTGTAATATTCTATTCCTATTTTTATAGAATGTTAAATACGATATAAGTAAATATATATGTGTTACATGATGCGATTCATGCCACGGAATAGCATAACATAGATAGGAATGTGTTTAATTTTTTTACAAACATTGCTGAAGTGTACACTTATTTTGTTTAAAAATATAATTGCAAATGCATTGTTGAAGGGTATATTTGATGCCTGCGTATATATATATATATATTCAACCATAAATTAAAAAAGGTATTTTACATATTCATAAATAAATCATCAATAAGATACTCTCATTTACTTGTATAGTAAAGTAAACTTATATGTTGAAAAAGATTATGATTATATGTACTTGTAGCTAATTACATTCCATTGTATGAATTATAAATGCGTAAGTAAATTAAATATATTCTTACTAGATGACTTGTATTCTATAAATATATTTTTCTAAATAGTACTTTAGTAATAAAAATTCAGTTTTTAAAAGAGATATTCGTAAATAAAGATTTGTTATTGATTTGGATGTTATATTAAGCAAATTGAGTATGCAATATATCTGTAGACGTGATATATTTTTTGGTTTCTTCCATCACTATACATTCATGCTTACCAATTTGGGCACTCAATTGTTCCACAGTTGGAAGTGAGATTTCTCTGGATTTGTAAATTTTGTTATTGTATTTTCTGTATTGAACACTTTTAAATACTAAAAAGTGAATGAAATGCCACCCAAAAAGGCACCTGCTCCTAGTAAAAAAGCGGAACAGAAAAAAAAAGAAAAAGTTATTGAGGTATTTAAATAAAATAATTTTATGTTGTTAACCTAAAATACGTACCATATTTTTGTATATAGCTGCACGTGTACACTTGTGTCTAATATTTTTTCATATAAAACTCTTCTTCTTTCATAGGATAAAACTTTCGGTATAAAAAATAAAAAGGGTGCCAAACAACAAAAATTCATTCAGCAAGTAGAGAAGCAGGTAAAATCAGGTGGTGTAAATCCACGAAAATTAGAAGATCCTAATGTTAAAAAACTTGAAAAAGAAAAAAAATTGAAGGAGCAAAAAGAGTTAGCTCTTATATTTAAACCTGTTCAATTACAAAAAATAGATAAAGGTAATACATAAAGTACAATTATTGCCAAGATCTAATTGAATAATAATGTAGTTATTAATAATTTTCTAAAAACAATGTATATTTACATATAACTTTATTATCATTGATATATCCAAAAATAAGATGATTTTTAATATAAAAGGAAATTAATAATGTAAACTATAATTTATTTGTAGAACTTATTTCAAAAAGAATGGAAATTAAGAATATATCGAGTAAAAATAATTTGTAGTTAATGTTTCTTGTTTTTGCATAAATAATAATCTTCTTTTTAGTTGTGCTGCAAATAATTCTGCATCCATTATGACATTCACTAATGCTTGCATAGCATTGGATTATACAACCATACAAACTATAGATATTACATTATTTAAATTTATAGGGACTGATCCCAAATCAGTAGTATGTGCATTTTTCAAACAAGGACAATGTACAAAAGGAGACAAATGCAAGTTCTCACACGATTTAAGTGTAGAGAGAAAAGCAGAAAAGCGTTCGTTATATTGTGATATGAGAGATGATGATAAAGAAACCGATACTATGGATAAATGGGATGAGGATAAATTAAAAGAAGTTGTAGAAAAAAAACATGGCAGTGGTAATCGTCCAACTACTGATATTGTAAGTACACATTTATGATGTAAAGACATTACCTTTTTTTTTATAATTAAACAAACAATATTATTTGAATTTTAGATTTGTAAACATTTTTTGGAAGCAGTAGAAAAGGCGAAATATGGGTGGTTTTGGGAATGTCCCTCAGGGCAAAAGTGTATTTATAGGCATGCGTTACCTCCTGGGTTTGTACTCAAAAAGGATAAAAAGAAAGAAGACAAAAAGGATGAAATTTCTTTGGAGGATTTAATTGAAAAAGAACGTGCTAATTTAGGACCAAGTCAAGTATGATTTCTTATTATAATTTGTATAATATTGTTCCTGCATAAGTGTTATGAAATATGTATTAATATCTTATACATTTTAACAGACTAAAATAACACTAGAAACATTTTTGGCATGGAAAAAAAGAAAATTAAAGGAAAAGAAAGAGCAAGCAATTAAAGAAGAAGAAAGAAGACGAAATGATTATAAAGCGGGTCGTCAAGTTGGTATATCTGGCAGAGAAATGTTTTATTTCAATCCTGATCTTGCAGTTGGAGATGGTACGTTCATCATTATTTTGTGTTACATTCCTAAACTTTACAGAATAGTTATAAGAAAGTTTACATTTATTATATTTTCTAGGCATTGATGATGGGGATGAAGCAATATCTAGTTATGTCCGCGATGAAGAGGAGGATGAGGAAAAGATTGAGTATAGAGAGCTTGATATGGATAGGCTTGCATTTGAAGCCAGTGAAATTGATACTAATGGAATAACTGTGGCTAGTACAGATCGATTAAAAAATAATGCCAGTGAAGATAAGGAAAACTCCTCTGGTAAGTATTCAATATTTAGAATTACTTGAGAATAACATTAATTCTTAGGAATAATCATATGTTTTTATAATAGTCACTGTAGGTGAAGGTGCAGTTGCATTAGCAATTAATGAAAATCTATTCATGGAAGAAGATTTGGAAGGTTTAGAAGAGGAATTAGAAGACTTGGATTTAGAAGAGTGATCTAAATATTTTATTTAACTACTGTCCCTTACTGTGTGTCTTCATTTATCTATACTCTGACAATATGTATATGTATATATGATTTATATATATATATATTGTCAACATTATTCATATTTTCACTACTAGTTTCAAGTGTGCTGCCTTGTACATTGTTATTTACATTCTACTTGCGAATATATTTACTTATAATGTATATATAAAGAGCTGGTCTCGTGCAAATCACTTTCATTTAAAAGTTTAATGTATTTAATTTTAATTA